ACTGGAGATCAGATACTCTCAACATGATGCATACACTACATATGGACCAGACAATGCTGATTGAGTTTGTGAAATGATTTGACAGAGATAATTGACTAACAACCGCCAAAGTACAAGTTTCTAGTTACTGGTGAAGCCTCCATCACAGATCATGCTGGCGCCTTGCATATAACTGTTCATGGGAGAGGCCAGCAGGACTATAGCATCGGCAACCTCCTCCATAGTGGCAAGTCGCCTCAAGGGGGTTCTCGCCAGATCTACTGCGAGTGGTGAATCTGGATCACGACTCATGATATTCGTTAGAAGGGGCGTCTCGACATAGCCTGGGCAGATGGCATTGACACGAATACCTAAAGGCCCATATGAGTTTGCGTCAGCTTTGGTTAAACCGATAATCCCTAGAACTCTGTCAGTGCTTGGTCGGATTACGGTTAGTAGAGTTGAAGTGTAGTGTACCATGCTTGGCGGTTGTATAGGCAGTATGATCTTGGTTGTTTGGTGCAACAAGAGCATACATACTCCCGACGTTGATGATTCTTCCACGGCCAATTCGAGGTCCCAGATCTCTATGATAGGGTTTAGTTCATTGGTCATTCAAGTTCAAGTTGTCCTGGTGGACATACTCTTGATTTACCATGACACCAAGTTCTTCTTTCTGACATCGATAAACACCTTGCAGATTCACATCGAGAATTCGACACCATTCATCGTCTTCCAACTCATGGGTCTTTCTACCACTGCCGCTGATACCGGCATTGTTTACAGCAATGTCCAACCGACCGAACTCGCTGATTGTCTTGGCAATGCCTTCCTTGACTTGTGTGGAGTCACGAACATCGAGATGTAACGACAGTATCTGGACGTTGGGAAACTGTTTCTTCAATGCGTCGGCGGAAATAGCTAGGGCTTCTTGGTTCACGTCGGCCAAAGCCAGCTTTGTGACTCCATGCTGCGCGAAGGCAATGGCCGTCTGCTGTCCAATACCTAATCAAGATCAGATCAGCAATTGAGCGTCTAACAAGACACTAAAAGAGTAGCTCCGAGTCCGTCTTGGCCATGACAAGCGATGGCGCCGAGTGAATTATGGGTCAAGGTCGACGAGCAAATAGCGGGACTTACCGGAGGCGGCGCCTGTGATGAAAGCGGATCCACGAAGTAAGACGGCCATTCTGGAGGAGGAGACGTGGTGTTGATGACAGGTATCCTGACTTGCTTGATGCAAAGAGGAGAGATAACTGAATGGTCTTATCTCTCAGCGCTTGACTTGACTTGGCCTTTAGCGCTACGACCATGATAGACCGGAAAAGGTGTCGGCCCATTGTCCTACTGTAAACACTCTTTGTTCTAGGATCCACAGAGACTCAACTGGGGTCGCTCGTTAGATTGAAGCTATCGAGCCAGGATGTGTCGCACCGAGGTTCCACTCATCACGACATGCGTTGAGCCTCCTGATATCACATAGAGAGTTCGAACCGTATTGTAGAGGACGGGTATGCTTTCATCGTTTTGGTTACGGAGCAGGGTAATGTTCACGGCGTAACGGTTTAAGAGGATAGAATTGGAGTCGCAAACCCAATTGATATCATCATCGTAACATGGAACGCGAGGGAAGTGACGTCGGATTACGGTACTGCAATTGACGGACGAGGCAATTGCTTTCGGGATCCGTCGTCATGTTCAGTGTTGATACATCGTAAGTCGAGGCAATGGGAGCAGTCCATAGTAATCGCGACATGATGTCTGTGAAATGTCAGTTGAGACTACACAAGGTGTAGACCAGGCAGATGACAACAGAGCAAATCGGTTATTGGTGAAGGGAATCAGGATCCCTCTCCAAGTTCGGGGGTATTGTAAAGATTCATGCATTGCCAAAAGTTGACGGGGGAAATGATGAAGAGTTCTTTTGGACAATCTACGAAATTAGATCAAGAGTGATAGGAATAACAGGCTGCAGCAAAGAGATTGGAGAGATGGAAACGCGCAGGGTAACCAAGACTCAAATGATCCTCATGCACGCACAATGAGCAACGCGAGGTATCACTGAGGCACATGTCACCAGGGCATGAGAAAGAATATGAAGATAAAATCATTTAATTCATGTATGGGCCTTTCGTGAACAATGCGTCATCTACCCGGGGTATGCTAATGATAATGTACAAAGGAAAGAGGCCCGCCCGGCAAAGGCTCAGGTCAAGGCTATAAGACAGATAAAATATATTCTTAGGGCTTGTTCTCGCCATTAAAGCGAGCGATACCACTTCGAATGCCCTTGTCGACTGACTTGGCCATCCTCTCAAGAGGGAGACGATCCTCAACACGTTGAACCATCTTGGACACAGGAGGCTCGATGCGCTGGACGCCCCTCTCCATGGGAGGGATGAAGTAGCTGACGTTTCTCTCCCATCGTGGAGCCCACTTGTTGGTCTGGTTGGAGAGACGCTCCTCAGCGCCGGGCATGACGAGGTAGAGAGGGGTCAAGACGCCAACACCGGCTGCACCCATGCAGAAGATTTCTGAGGGCTTGGCAGCGGGAAGTTTGGGAACGCGGACGGGCATATTGTTTGTTTGTGGTGAGGGGAGTTGGAAGGTCTAACACTGAGTGTCAGGGAGAGGTTGGTTGTACTTTTGGGGGAATTGTGCTCACTGTTTATTGATCCAATCGAGTTGTTCGACCGGAGTTGATGAGGTGGTTGTGTGTAAGAGGAGTGAAGTGTGATGTAGTTGTAAGTAATGCGGCGGTAGAGTCGTTAAAGCTCAAGTTGATGAGTTTTTGAAGGATTAATTTGATTGGGGATGAAAGAGTCAGGAAACAGAAATGAACAGAAAATGGCTGCTCGCTCTGTTATATACGTGCAACCACGATTGAATGGATGCTCGTACAAGATCGAGCGGGGTAGCAGCGCTTGGATGATCAACCTGCACGGTACAACAATACCTAGGCAGGGAGGCTGCGACATCGAGGCGAAGAGACAAGCAAATGGTGAAGGTGAGGTGTGAGAACTGACGGGAGACTATACTTGGTCATGTAAGCACGAATCACTGTAAATGGCGGTACATAGTAAGACCAATACTGTGCTGACCGACAAGGTTACACTTGAATGCGGATGGCTTGCAATCCCCCCCAACCTCAAACTCTCCCGCAGGCCGAGACAGATGGTGATTCGCCGCTCCTCAGGTCCATGCCCTCCATTACGTCGAGTCTCGACCCTCGTGACTTGATAGCTCGCTGCTCACGGTTGGTCAAGATGGGTTCTGAAAACAGTGCACCAGCAAGCGGAGAGATGCGACAATGGGGATCTTCCATGTGAAGGTTGCCACGCCATCGAACGCCTCAGAGGTCATTGTCGTTTGACGCGGGGGAGAGCAGGGGGCAACCCCAGGAGATTGAGATTGTGCTGCGGGAGGGTCGCTTCGAGTCGAGATTCAGCTGCTCCAAGCGAGATGGTGGCTTGTCGGTTTGGTTGTCTTGGGTAGTAAGATGTGCAGCGTCGGACCGGATTGAGTGAGAATGGAAACGAAGCAATTCATTTAACCCTATCTAGAAAGTTCGACATTCTATATGACTGCGAGTTTGTGAAAAACAGTAAATCGCTGTACAGGTTACGCCCCTTGATTCATCGAAATGGTCACGTAGCAGTAGAAGACACGGAAAAAGTGACTACGCGGTGTGCAGGGAGACAAATCAAATCAAATCAAACTGGAGCCGACGGCGATTGAAACTCCAGGACCCCGCCGAGACGCAAGCAGCAAGTGGCATGTTTTCTACGCAGTAGAGACAATGAATGCGACCCTGTTTCGTTTCGTGTGTTGCGGAAAATGCAGGTATCAGCCCAGTATTCAGAGACAATTGATCAAGAGGGATAAGAATCTCATGTTCAGTGCATTGCAGTTGTGGAGTGCGAAATAAAACATTTCTCTGTCATCTCAATTTCAATAATCTCATCAGCATGCACCAAAAACAACAATGTGCGGCACAGTTACTTGGAACAGAGGGCAGATGCAGGAGCCAGACAGGGAAACAGTGCGTCTGGCCGCCCGCTTCTTGCGCCCAACGATGCAGGATGACTTGTCGGTGACATTCCTCCCAAGTACTTCTGTCGACAATTTCAAACCCTCTCTCCCCCCTACAGCTTACAGCGATTCAAGGCACTTTTACAAGTCGCGTGCCGTCCATAAACCACTGGCGCTAGCATGCAGAGGGTCCTCAAATCCCCTAAAGCGTCTCCACTAAGTCTGCTACAGACCCGCTTCCCCAGATTCGCGGCACTTAGGAACGGCGGCCCCAGTTCCCAACCCCGCTTTGAGACCCACTGTTGGGCTTCCCCGGAGTCAGCCAATATTGCTCGCGCAGCCATTTGCCACCTGTAAATGCCCCGGACACGAGGGTGTTTTACAGGAGCATTCAGGGGATGACCGCCTGGAGTCTTCAGTTCAGATCTCAGATTGCGCACCACGAATGGTATTCACAGAGCTTGACTCATGAATACCTGTTCTAAAGGTTCTCTTTATGTCTCTACAGCAAACTTGATTTTTATTTCTTAATACTTCGATTTCCTCAGACGCCAGAGTGATAAGTTAGTTCAGTATATTCAGTTTTATGTTAGGCAAAGCCAAATATGCCAGCTTGCGTGGATTGACCGAGACAAGAGCGCAAGAAGGAAATAAAAGCATTGGACATCCCATTGTCTTTAATGATATTCGCAAGCTGGCAATACTCACTTAAGTAAAGAGGTTCGCTTCTCGCAGATGATATATATAACTTCATTAAGACAAAATAGAGGAATGGAAGAGAGAAGACTTGAACTTGGATGGCGCGGAAACAAGGCAATTAGTACAGTATGACCGTAATCGCAGTTTGCAATGTAAAATAAATTGTCCTGCAAATTGCAGGCAGAAAGAGAACTAATCTGAAATTGGCAATTGAGAATATTAAAGATTGCCTTTTTCGATTTAACCTATAAAAAAAATTGACTTAAGTAAAATTGGCAAAAGAAAATAATTGTCAAGATTGGGATTCGAACCCAAGAATCTTTCGATACTGCAAATATTCCTAGTTATCTAGGTAAGACTATATCTTGAGTGCAGCGCCTTAGACCACTCGGCCATCTTGACTTATTTGGTATTTGTAAGGGAGCAAATGGTGCATATAACTAGAGAAAGATCAGATTATAAGTAAAAGAAAAAATTAAAGTTGTCAAGGTTTGGATTCGAACCCAGGAATCTGTCGATACTGCAAATGTTCCTAGTTATCTAGGTAAGACTATATCTTGAGTGCAGCGCCTTAGACCACTCGGCCACCTTGACTGTATTACTATAAAGGTTATATTTAGATCATATAAAGGTATACTGGGAAATAATTATAAACTTTATATAACAACTTCTCTTAATAATTTAATAATTTTAATTAAATATTTAAATCTATTTTTAATAAAGTTAGATATTTTATTTTAATTAATTTAGCAACGACCCTAGAGTAAGTTTAATGTCCGCAAACTGGGGCCCCTCGGACAAAACGCTGGAAAGATAGAGATGGGTTTACGATTTTATCAGGAAAGACGAGTCGCTCAATTCTGCTCGTAGGATCAGGAACAAGGTCAACCAATACACGCTGCTTTTCACCGTTGTCGCCAGCGTTCATCGATGCCAAGGCGGTTTGGTTTTTGGACAACATCCCCTACACGCGGCACATCCACCAGAATGGACTGGCGGCGTGAGAATTTTCAACGACGAGTTTTCAAAATGTGTTCATTCATTCCAGAATGCTGTCATCAACAACTATATCAAGAACTTGCCGAAGTTTCTGCTGGAGCGGCTCTGGACTTTTTCTACCGCTTCCTCTATACTGCCCGATATTCCCACAGAAGATAATGGTTCTGTGAGCTCGGGGAGCCAGCAATATTCCCCCATGGCCTCATCCTTGTTCGAGATCAGCCCATATGTTGTCCATCCTCTGTATCGTTTCAAGTTGGCCCTTGAACGATGTGGACAGACTGAAGGCCCGCCTGCCTCGATCATCAGGCGCCAACAGGCCGAGCAACTATTTGAAGACATGGTACCCAAAGTATGTGGCTGGTCGTCGAGTAAAGATGAATGGGTTAAGTTTCTACAGAGACTTGATGAAGGTGTATGGATTGCTGCCTCACTGGAGACTGCCAGAGGCGCTCAAATGGTATAGCCAGAGCGGGACAGATTCATCGCGACTTTCGGGGGCAAAAGTGATGCTGATGAGCTAAGCAAAGTTGGAGCTGCAGGAACGGAACTCCAGAGGGCATCGCAACAGTTCATGGTGCAACAAAAGCTGTGGCTCGGCAATCTATCAAGAGGGAAAGAAGCCGATTCTCCATATCTTGATTTGAATGAAGCTGAAGGTCACCCGGTCAAGGTGTCACAGCGTGGGAAGTTCAACTTGTATCCAAGTTGAAAAATGACTTGATGGTCACAACGGACATCAAGCTGGGCTCTTAATTGCTCCGCTTGAGAGAGATGATATACGCACGATACATTTCACTAACTTAGGGATCGATCTCAGAACCGCAACAGGATTGATAATCAAAGTTCCCATAAACAATTCGGCATGCACTTTACCCCTATCCGCGATGAAGAGCCACAAAAAGGGTTCCGACTTTATCAATCTTTGGAAAGCAGTTCGGGGTGAGGCTCAGCCCGCAGATGGTGTATCGAGTTCTTTGAAATATTCCAAGGAAGATATGGACTATCCTCCGGCTTTGTGTGTGTCACCTGCCGGGAAGATGGGAGCGAAGCCTCCATCCAGGCGGCTTGAAACTGTTCAACAACCTGAAAAGAACGACGCACTGTGGCTCTTGAAGAACTACATTGATTTACGCCTGCCTGGAGGCGGTGATTTCTGGACGGGTAATAAGGACGATTTTCCGCAAGGAACAGACGATGTGACAGGTTTCATAGAGTAAGTTTAGGTCCAGCACTCACCTCAAGTGACTACATTTTCCTAGTGCTAACCTATTCTTCTAGCTTCCTCCAACTGCCTGAGAACTGCGAACATCCCCTACGCTCGATGGTGGTATGAATTACTTGTCTTGAGAAAGAGGCCCCAACGCAACTGGTTTCACTGGCTTTAAACCCTACGAAGTACAATAATTCGGCATATAAACGCGCCCATGTCGATCACGACGCGAGGCACGTACCGCAAAAAAAAGTGCTGTCATAACCCTTGGTCCTAAACCAGAGGGGCACTGAGCCCTTGCTGGAATGGCGTGGGTATTGTCTGGGGAAATACCAGGAAAGCGTAAAGTTACTTGCAGAAGAGTACAAACGAGGGGCAAGTTAACCGCTGGCCAACATGCTCAAAGAACGATTTCTGAGTACAGAGGGGTGGTTTCCACAGTTTGTAAATAGGACTATAACTATAGGAAACATTGCCATACCGTAAGCCATCCTGGGCCCTCCTCCTGGGGGTTGGATCTAAATTTTGAAAACGAGTCAAAAATTGTAGCCTCGTAACAAGACATTTGTGAATACGTGATATTAGCCTGATTGTAGGCTTGATGATGGTTGAAAAGGTGGTGTCGCGTCGATTTCCGGGAATAGGATTCGTATCAGAGCAAGGCTCTCCCAGATTTGAGGATATCGTATCTCATTCCTCTCCTTCTCGCAGTTCCTTCACCGCTGGCGCAGATTAACCGGTCATAGCAGCATCAGCGTCGCTTCCTGCGTCTGCTCCACGCACCCACAGCACGTTATTGCACCTGTATATCCGTGGTTAGCATCGCGTTTTTCTGAAGATGAGTGAGTGTAGAATCGTACCTGATCAATACTTGACCCAGCGATCCAGTTGGCTTGTCGGCGATGTACTCCTCGGTGCCGGAAAGTTGGATGTTCATGTAGCTGTCGATAGAAACCAGTGTTCCCTTGTACTCGACCTCACCCCATTTTAGACGGACAAGAACTGGGTTTCCGACAAGCTTCTCCAGCATGGGGCGAGGGTTAAGGTGTACGAAGCTCATCTTGGGTGGCTGTGATGAGTTTGACGGTCGAATTTGAGGTTGATGAGTGAGCTTTCTGGTGGCTGCGAAAGGACAGGCGCGTCGGACATATTGGGTTTAGCACTACATGCCTGAGGAGAAAATTTGCCCATATTGCGCCGGCTTTTCTTCGGTTAACCCGTAGCTGCCTGCACTCTGAATCAAGCTCTACTGACTGCACTTCAACTGATATGAAATGTTAAAAGGTTTCTTTCATATTAGTGGTCTTTGTTCAAAATCATCAAACAGGTCGTCGGGATTTGATGTATAGGTCGTCGATTGACTAGACTATATTCTGCACAAGCAAGCCGGGACATCCTATCCTCAACGGGGTCATACCTCTCAGGGCGACAATATCCGTACACTCCTGCTACTTGATGAGTGACCCAGTCATCACTTGATACTCAGTCGGAATGCAATGAGAAAATATATCATTGATTTTTAGCTGAACACAATATTGTATTCTCTGTGCAACCATGTAATGTTGCAGTTGCACCTGACTCCTACCAAATCACCCAAGTCTACTGATTCAGCTATTGGCGTCGATGTTGTACAGTGTCATTCTCTGGAGACAAAGAAAATCAAGGCTTCAGTATTTGGCAGTCTCTAGAATTTTCGATTCTATCAAATCAGGAAGGATGTACGCCGAGCGTGGTGTTCAGTTGGTTGCATGCATCAAGGTGTCGGAGTGCACGATCCAGGTCGGTATCCTTTACTTTCTTTCGTTCATAGCACCACCATTTCGCCACTGTGAGATGGAGCTCAAAATGTATCGAGTACCTTGCTCTTCTTGATGCACGTGGATCGTGTACCCCACTGGCCCAAGCCTCAAAGAGCTAGGTCCACCGGGAGAGACATTCACCGACCCCGATTGTCATACAACAGCCGAACCACCTAACCCAGAGGTGATTCACCACCGTTGGTAGGCTTCAATGTTTTGCCTGCAGTTATACAATTACCTTACAATTTCCTTTCTCATCGCCAGCTGATGTCTGTTGACGCTTGCAGTGACGGCTAACACAGCTGAAGAATATTCGTGATTGATCATTTTAAGATCCCATCTTCTACCATTCACTATTCTCCATTGCATTGCGCAGAACCGCCCACCTTATAAAGCTCTGCAGGAACTACGTCACGACTGTAAAATTCCTCTTGACAACCCGCAATCATGGCCGATTTCGCAAATTTCGACGGGACACCCAGCAGCTTGGGCAGTGATACGAACCAGCGAAAAGCTGCCATCCTCGAACGACATCTCCCAGATGGCTACTCCGCTGAGCCCGATGTTGCTTTTGGTCCAGCCAACCCTTCCGCTTCAGCCTCCGACAGCAACGCCAATAATGACTCCTCAGGAGAACCTGTCGAATCTTCGCTCCTTCTGCAAGGTGGTGACATACATCGCGACATGTTCAAGATCAAGGCCCTGGCCAATTCCATCCGCCGGTCTGCAACTTTCTCTCATCATGACCCTCCTCCACTAGTTGCCCAAGACGAATTGACCCATGCCGAGCAGCGGGAGCCCGGAGGCTTTCGACGACATCATCTTCAGCGACAAGCTCGGCAGAGACGCAAGAGCGGCTACACAATTGTTGCCAAGAACTTTGTCGATTTCCTCGACCTTTACGGAAGCTTTGCCGGCGAAGATCTCGAAGATGCCGACAGCGAAGACGAGTCGGCCATTGACGATCGAGAAGACGGCGATGTGGAACAGCCACCTGAGCTTCGACCTCTACTCGGACGAAGAAAAAGCTCGAAACGGATGCGCAAGACGGGCGACGCTACAACTACAAAGACATTCTTCACACTTATTAAGGCTTTCATCGGCACTGGAATCATGTTCTTGCCAAAGGCGTTCCGCAATGGTGGCATTCTGTTCTCGTCCATCACCCTCATTGTACTCTCCCTCGTCAATTGCGGTTGCTTCCGTCTCCTTCTGGACTGTCGTCAGATTTACGGAGGTGGTTATGGAGAACTGGGTGAAGCCATTGTTGGCCCTCGATTCAGAAGTTTGGTCCTCGCCTCAATTGCTATTTCTCAGCTTGGATTCGTCTGCGCGGGCCTCATCTTTACGGCTGAGAATCTCTATGCTTTCCTTGATGCCGTGACCGCCAA